CACGTCGCTTGTACTGTATTGCGAGGCACCGCTTTCAAATCTTTTCACTCACTGAACTGTGGCAAAATGCATACACACACACACACACACACGCACACACACACACACACACACACACACACACACACACACACACAGTCAATTTTAAACAAGACAATTGAGCATATCGACAAAAATGAGAGCTCAAGATTGTCCACGGCTCAGTGACTTCACATATTGCAAAATATTGAGAAAGTTCCCCCCCCCTCCAAAAAAAAGAATACCTCCAACTCTGTGTTGTTGGCGATTATTGACTTAAAGTTGTGGAGTTGTCTACCTCGCCGTAGCTAATCTGCAATTAAAAACACATTCCGCCGCTCCACTTGCCATCTTCCCTTTCATCCTTTTTTTTTGACTTTCTTTTGCCGCTGAATTACACAAGCCAATTGACGTGCTCGGATGGTGAAAACAAGCGCAATTACTGTTATTTTCCCATTGAAAGAGCCTCGTCAGCGAGCATCGAGTGTAATGCGCGCCAACACTCCGAGAGCTTTTCTTGCCTTACCGCCACTCGTCTCTAATCTACAAGATGAAATGAAAAAAGAAAATGCCGTCCGGGCTTGCAAAAAAAAAGAACTTTTCAAGGCAGTGCAACACTAAGTATATTAATGTTTCTTTTGTACACCAGAATTTTTCCAATCCAAATTTAGCTACGAGCCGGGAATCCGATTTGATCAGTCGAGTTCCGTGTCTGACCAAGAATGGCTTCAATGTTTACGTTTATTCCTGAAAACTGGAGCGGGCGACCCCGCCGATATGCCATTTTCAGTCTCTGTAAAGCAAATCGAAACATCTTTTAAATCTGACACACCACACAGAAAATTGCCAAGTCCATAAAATAAAGAATAGGAGGAAAAAAAAAAAGCCATTCTCTCCGCTCTCAACTCATGTGGGCGTGCCTGCTAATGTGCTTGAAACCACGCCCCACTCAAGCATCAGCTGTCAATCAAATACGAGTGACAACCCGGAAGAATGATCTGCTTTTCTCTGTTTGATGCAATTTTTTATTTTAATCACTCCGGTATTTGTTGTAACTGAGCAAATTTTATGACTTTAAACTTAAAATTTGGAGGCGACCTGACTTCCTTGATTTTTTTTTCCCCACAGTAACTTTGGACTTGCTCATATGTGTGCACCTCTGAAAACTGGTCTTCACCTTCACAAAAACAAAACCCAGAAAATCAAATCAATACTTGCATAACGATTCTACAAATTTTGCACCTAACAGTTAAAAAAACAAAATAATAAAAAAACAAAATTGTTCATAAATGTGTGGTAACAAACTGTTTTAAAAAAGTCCATTCAAATGTAGTTGAATTATTTAACAAATATTGGATTGAAAAAAAAACTTTTCTTAAATCTGATCACAATTTTGAGATTTTTTTTCTTTGAACAACAGAATATAAGGGAATGATTAAGCTTCCAATATAACCCCCACCCCCCCTCCATTTTGGGTGATGATATTCCCTTAACACGTTGACGGAAATCTCTTTTTCTTTGTAATGGCTTTACATAACGCCTATCCGATGACGCAAGGCTAATTTTCCGGCCCGCCCTGATGCGCGGCGCTGCTAATTTCGAGCTTAACGGAGCGCTTGAGCTTTTTGATAAAGCGATCGCGGCTTTTTGTTTGTTTGTTTGGCGGCAATGATACGAGGCGAGGATGGGGCTCGGGCAGATGGTTGGCCAGAGAGGATGTTGATCACGTTTCTCAGCTGGGAAGCAAAACGTTAGCTCAAGGTCAATGGCGTTGCCTAATGACTGCAGATATGCAACACGACGGCGGTCGTTTGGCGAGGCCGTTAGATCCATCCGCCCCACTTCGCGCCGTTCATCCGGCATAAATATTGATTTCCAGAGCCGTGATGACCGTACGCTCCGCTTTGCAAATTCATTCAAACAGCCAATTCCTTGATTTCTGCTGCCGACCGAGAACATTTCACCTCAAAAGATGATGCCATCTGTTGGTATCTAATGAGGGGCCGTGCGGCGAACTCGTGGTTAGTGTGTCTGCCCAACAGCTCGGAAATTCCGAGCTTGCATCCTTTTTTTCAGTATTTCATACGTGGACACTAATATTTACTAAGAACTGGAACAGTATATGCTGTTTTGGGCACCCCTGATACAAGTACGGTATTTCCTTTTTTTTTTTTTTTTTTTTTTTTTGCTACATACAACACTGCTGACTATTCTTGCTGCTGTCCAGAGGTTGTGCTCAGGGGGCCCTTTGATTAAAATTGGTTTTGAATATTTATTGTTTTATTTTTCAACAAACCCAAAGAATTCTCCCCAAAACGCTGATGACCAACACGTGCGATGGAAAATGGGAGGGATAAAGGGGAAAAAAATCTAAAACAATTTGAAAAAAAAAAAAGAAAACAAAAATCTGCAAATGTTAATTTACGGGTGCCGAACTGCGAATATACTTTGGCTGTAGTTTTAAGTTGTAATACCACCATTCAACACTAGATGACAGACAGTACGTCAATAAAATTGACATTGCTGCTCAGCAATTTTGTGCCATTCTTGAATGGTAGTTTTATGCAAGTGAGCCCTTGCTACTGGCGGGGGGGGGGGGGGGGGGGGGGGGTAGATATATATATATATTTTTTTTTTTTTTAAATCATAGTTTGTAGTTATTTTGTTTTTTGCTTCAAACCATTTGTCGGTGGCTTCTTATGCAAGCATTGAAAAATGTATCATGAAATATACTGAGGACATATTTCCAATCACATTTTGTCATACATCTGGTTAGGAAGCGCATGGTGCTTTGTTTCCCCCACCCAATGATGAGAAATCGTGGCCCATTATCAGCATTTGAATTGCCCATCGATGTCGTTTATACCGTCGTAATACTCACGTAGAGGAGCGATTGAACAAGACAGAGCAAAAGAATTCCGCAGACAAGTTCTTCTGACACACTTCGACTAAACTGAGACGCCTCGCGATCGTGAACGTACAATTGTTTACAGCGACTCGGAAGGTAGCGTTCAAGAATAACCTTGCCTAATGAGCCCCGCACAATGTTCACGTCCACCATTGTTTCTTTTATCTATTTGGTCCAGCCTTCATTTGTCCGCTAGCACGCAGCGTATCGCTACGCGTGCTTTTTAATTACCTCGTTTCCCCCGGCGGGATCAATAAAGCGCAATCATTTCACCTCCAATTAAAGCCGAGCAAACTTGACCGCCATCTCAAATCACAAAGTGCTTCGCCTCCACTTTTAGTCCGTCGTCTGCGGGGGTGTCAACGCGGGAGCGCTTGGTGTGCTGACGTCTACGTGCTGCTCCACAAAGACGCCCCCGAGAGACTTTAGTCACCTTGGAGACGACACACTATCACACTTTGAAAAGGTGAATTCTTTCATTTGTTTCTAAACATATTCAATATGTTTATTCGAATAATTGCTGATGTGCAAAGACCGAGATAATCCAATGTTGAGCTATTGTTACCGTTTTTCACTATTTCAGTTTTTATGATTTTGTTTTGGGGGGGGGGGGGTTTCTGAAATGGAGCCTTCAGCAGTGGGTATTTTTCAGACGTGGTTGTAAATTACTGAGTCATGATTGCTAGGCGTAAATCTGGTAGCTCACAGGCTCGCTAGTGGCTAGCACCTCTTGTTGTGGCATGAAGCCCCGCAATGATCAGGTGGGATATATTCCAGCCAACATTGGCTTTTAGATCAAATTTTGCAACAACAAAAAAAAAAGAAAAAACAAGATTAATAAGTAGCATCCATTTCATACAGTGAGCGGACATGCCCACAATATTTGGGAGCAGAGACAAAGGCTTGAAAGTTTTTGATTTGGAAGCCTCACTGGATATCCATTACTTGTTTTGTTGTTCTCTGTTGTGTCAAATCTACAGGACACATTTACGTTTTACTCAAACTCTCAGCATGACCCAAAAGTAGTCTACTGTATTAGTAAAATGCAGTTGCAGGCAGGTGCATTTTGGATCTGGGCCTTCAGTCGACATCTAAGTGACCTAATCCACCCCCTAATCCCACCATTAGCATGACACAAATTTCAAAACCGCAATATGACTGCATGGCATTGCAGCGAGAGGGATGAAGAGAATTATTACAAAAGCAAGAAACATAGATAACGCTTTGTCTTCCAATACCACACCGCTGAATCAATTCCAAACCCTGAAACTAAACAGCAGTTCACACACAATACTCAATATTTATCCGATACCATAACAAAAACATAAAAACTGAAATAAAATACTCACCATTATTTTTAGACCCCAAAAAAAACCCCAAAACAAAAACATCCGTCCTGTTTTTCTTCCCTGAGCTAGCTAGTTGTCATTGTGTAGCCAGGGGTAGCTAGCTTGAGTGCTCATATGTGTGAGCTGCTGTGGGAATGCTGCTAAATTCATTTTCCGGGTTGAGACAAGCCAGCCGGGCCGTTCGGATGCTGGCTGAACTATCCTCACAATCTCCAATTTTTCCGCCTTGAAGATAAAAAATTTCATAAAATTCGTCTTCCTCAGTCACATCGGCGTAATAATTCTGCCTAATTACGAATGCCTGCACCTGAGGTCGCGGAAGGACACGCCCCGCTGCAATATGATTGGCTGCACAACGCAAGGCTAATCAGCTTTGAACAGCCAATCAGAGGACGGTGAAATGCTGACGTCACAAAGATGACATGGCCAAGACACAGTTAATCACAACAACAAAACACATTCAGTTTAAATCCATAATTTAATCCACTTTTTTTTTTGCTCGCTTCTGTTTTACAGTGGCATAGTTGAAAAATGAATATTCAATATTTAGCCGAAAAAAAAAATCTCACACGTTCTCTCACACACATACACATTTACCCTAACCCATAAAAAGCTAATTACTTACAGCGAATTTAAAGTGTTTTTTGTTTTTCTTTTTTTTTTTAAAAATGAGTTCTTTATGGCATGAAGAAAAAAGGTGAGCTTCGGTGGTCCTTTTTTTTTTGTGTACAGTGACAGCTGACGTTTGATTCAACAACGGTTTGCAGCAAACTCAAAGGCCATAATGGTGATCCTTTTGTCCATTTTGGGTGATGTCACAGGAGAAGAAAAAAAACATTATAAGACAAGTACTTTAGTAATAACAGCTAGAATATCCGTATTATATAGTAAGTGTCCATCCTGGTGATAAATACACACATTTTGACTCCCCTTGCCCCCCCACATTACAATCACTGTTTGAAGAATACAAAGGAGCACACTGGAAAGGGGGGAAGTCGTCATTTCAACGGTTGAATGTTCCTCTGAAATTCCCACTCGGATCTCCAAAGAACAGGAAGAGATGAACGGTCGGATGACTACTTTCATGAGATGACTTTTTTCCTTGAAGAAAAATAATTTTCCCCCAGGGGAGAAAAAAAAATGCCCTTCTTCATTTTTCTATGAATATGAAGTTATTATCGGAACACTTTTTCCTTGTAAAAAAAAAAAAATCCCTGGATTTATGAATTTATTCATTTATTCACAACTTTTCACCTTGGAAAAAAAATGTATATATTGTTTAATTTTCTTAAATCTTAATGTATTTTTATCTCATAAGATTGCAGATGTGCTGCATTAAAGTTGTGTCTTTATTCCTTAAAAATGTTTTTCTCACATTATGACTTCCTTCTTGTAAAATTCCAAAGGTTTTCCTCAAATCATTCAAATTTTTTCAGTCAAATACACTTAAAAAAAAAAATTCCGGTTTGATCACAACTTAATTTCCATTACATTATGAGCCTTTTCCTTAAAAAATGAAACACATAAATTCTAAAACTTCATGAAAAACTTCCTATGAGATCAAGATTTCATCCCATTTGCGAATTGATGATTTTTACTTCAAAAAAAGGGTCTTTTTGAATTTTATTACCTTGTAATACTAGATCTTTAATCTTAAAATATTATTAATGAAAGTAAGTTTTCCTTGTAATGTCACAAATATCTTCCTGCTTCACACAAGTGTCAATCTTTTCTTTCCCCCTTTTCTGTGTGGCTCCCCCCCCCCTTTTTTTTTTAAAGAAGAAAACAGCCGTCTAAAACATGTTGTTATGAAAACTCAAGGTAGAACTACAGACTTTCCTTTACTAAAATTCAATACTTACATGTTATTTACATACCTTCTGGCCCACAGGAAAAAAATCTTATAGGGACACCTCAAAAAATGTATCGCGTCGCTATCCAATGAAAAGCTCGTATCGCCAAGTGATCCACGAAAGCAAGAAGATTGTTTTTACAGATTACGATGATAACAAATCAAGATGCTTTTTCATATTTTCACAGCAAGTACCACCAAAAGAAGTATTTAGCTTTTCACGTACCATCATCGTGACCCAACATCGAGAACCATCCACGGCAGCGAATGAGTAAACAGTGCCTAAATATAAAAAAGAAAAAAATAAAACAATTAAAAATGTACAAATGAAATATAAATACTACCTGAATAAATATTCAAAAACCAAACTTGTTCTTAAAGATGAAATACAAACGTGGAGAACTTAAAAGTTAAATATAACTGAACCCTACTTGTCCAATGATTCTTTCTCGCACCACTAGGGGGCTCTTGAGAATCACAGAATAATTTTTCGACGTGCTTTTCATTGAACAGCGCCAAAAAGCGATAAATGTGCCAGGGACAACAAAAACAAAATATGCGTATATATATCAACAATATTCCTCACCAATATTGACATTATAGCAAAGTATTTAACAGCAATATGCACACCTTGACGCAAAGAACTACCAACCCTGCTGGGTTCCACTCACTCAGGAGGGTTCTCACGTTGGGTTGGGTCAGGGATGGACCGAATTCTTTCCTCTCTGATCCCGATACGAATCCTGAGACAAGAACCAGTTGACTTCGGGAGCCCTCGCAAAAATGTGCTTTTTAAATTGTCGGCCCAGGGTATACACACACAAAAAAAAAAAGGCTGCCGAGAGGAACCGGCTTTAATCTACTGAAGATTGTGCTTCTACATTTTGTTTTTCAGGGTCAACTTTGGGCTATGTGGCACTGTGGGGACAAAAATCCCTCCCACCCCCCAGGATGCGAACAAACTTAGTGAACGAAAAAACAGCTTTGAGCAGAGTTGACGTTATGTCGCTAAAGCGTGTGCAAAAGAAGGTCGATCAAAACAGACACGGAGGCACCTTCAACTCAAAAAAAAAAAAAAGTTGTCCGCGAATAACAGTAAAAACTAAATCAAGAAAAAGGACGACGAGATACTGAGGCAGCTTCAAATTGCATGTCTGTTGTCAAAAAGTAAAAAAAAAAAAAAAATTGGACCAAGAAGCCTAAATGAAGTACTCCTTCTTCTCCTCAGCGTGCACGTGGTTCCCTTCGGCGTTGATGATGGCCGTGTCGGCGTCAGGGGCGTCCTCGGACCCTTTGGCCTCGTGCGTTAGATACGTTCCTGGGCAGAGAACACAGTTCATGCGAATGTGACGCCGCATAAGCCCGACAGGCACCTGCTTAGGGCCCAGTGGCCACTAGAGGGCCCCCAAGAGCACTTGAGTCAAACAAAACTTGAACTATTGAGTAAGTCCAGAGGACCGTAACGTCAAGAATCTTTTTTTTTTCGCAAAATTTGAAAAGCTAAATCAGATTGAAAATACTGCACCGTTTTTGCAAATGGGGGAGAGATAAAAAAATGCAAACAAGAGGGAGGAGAACGCAGATCCACTTTAAGATCCTGTAGGAAATTCAGGATCTCTCCATCGCCGATTGCTAATATACAGTCGCACTATTTCGCAGCTTTTTAAATTTGTTTATGGTTTTTTTTTTTGTTTTGGGTGTAACTCCACTGTTGGCCACTAGATGGTGGCGCACTATTAGGTTTGCCACTGTGTAGATTTGAAGGAAACGTGACAACAGCAAGTGAAGACCAGCCGAGATTTTGTTGAAAAAACAACTCTCGTTCATCCTGCTGTTTGGGGCGGTCGTAAATCAAGGCGCCGCTGTGTGTGCAAGTTGGTTTATTTTGACTTTGATTTTACATAAGGTGGACCGACATGAAAGCGTGGTCGCGCTGGACGTAGCGAGACGTCGGCTTACCTTTATGTCTGGCCAAGTAGCGGCCCAGGACGATGATCAAGCACAAGGTGATAAAGACCACCACGGCGACCACGCCGCCAATCAAAGCGTGGTCGGGCCCGTGCTGCCCGATGGCGTTGGGGTCTGAGCCGGGACACCGGATGGCGACATGAAGCCAAGGAAAACAAAACGATACAAGCTGTAAAGCAATTTGCTGAAAAAAAACCCCAACACATTTAGATGCTCTCTCTGGTATGCCCAAAAATGGATGGACAGATACTGTGAATATAGAAGGCGGCTCAATCGACACGGAGACGAGATGTAGATTGACAATTCTGTATTCATTTTAGCGAGTGAAAAAGGACATTTCTGCGTCTCTATCCAGATACCCGCCTGGAGCAGTCATCCGCTTGGCAAATAGTGAGCCGTCCGCGCTGAAGTTGTGTTAGCGACCAAATCAAAGTGTTTACATTGTACGGTCAGTCGAACATTCAAACCGTGTCAGTGATCCTCGCTGAAAATAAAGCTGAGCGGGATGAATATAAAAAAAAAATAAAAAAAAAATCTAATAATAATATCCACACGCTGCACCTACACCTCCTCTCTCTTATCTTTACTGTACTCTCAGCGTGCTCTCCGTCCTGCTCCTACTTGATAAAAGCAGCCCACAAATAACACCATTTTCTAGCTCACAGCTCGCTTTGTTAGCTCATCCATCATCGGCCGCACGCACCGTGTCATGTTGGCCAAGGCGGGTTGCGGCGCGCGGGGCGTGCGGACACGGAATGTGATTGCCTGATGCGGGAATGTCGGTGAAAAAAAAAAAAACCCACAAGAAAAAAAGAAAAAAAAGGCTCTCTGTGGGGAAGGCGTACAAGATGAGGAAAATCAAACAACAATTACTTGCGTGCGCGCTTTGTGTTGATTCTCACACCTGACCGGCTCGAGCGAGTGCAGGTGAAGTCAGAAAACAAAACGAAAAAAAAAATGGAGACACTGTGTGCATTTTCACTTCGAAAGGGGGAAAAAAACGACTGCCCCGATCATTTAATTTAATCGACCAGCCAATTTATTCAGCTAGTATTTGTTCTTTTCAGGACAAAGTAATGTAAAACACACAAATGTTCTGCTTGTAATTTAGATTGCACAAAAAAAAATATATTTTTTAATGAATCTTTCTACAAATCGGTGACCAGCATCTGCCACGGCATTGGCCTCAAAGATTCGAGATCTCTCCGGCTGTAGAAAAACAAAACCCTGTTGTCTTACAATTACAGTGATCCCACGCTGACGTGTACTAAACTCGCATGAGTTGAACTCTTCTCGCTTGAGTTTCGGTTCGTTTGCAAGCGGCGGATGCCCAAAGACATCGTTTCCCCTGTTAGACATTTTCAAACGGATTTTTAGAAAAATGATATCGCAGCTGGTAAGTAATACGGTGAGCATCTGGATAAAAGTGCAAGTATAACCTTTAATTCTGTTGCGCTATGATGGCCAGGGGGGGGGTCAAACTTTTGTCGTCTGGGATCACGTTTGCTTTTTTTTGTTGTTTAACGGACGAGCAAGTACGGTACTGCTCTCCTCTGAACAAAGCCGTTGATTCATTTCCGGCGGCACTTAAAAGTCAGTTCGACTTCTCGCCTGTAGGGGGAGCGCTGTGGCAAAAACTCCCTCGGCGCCGGCTTGCTGCAGCCACGCCGACGCAGCCATCGCTCAAGTGTACTTAACCGCGCCGCATCTGCTGCGGTCTCGCCGACATCTCCGAGTAATTACGACACGCCGCGTTGCCTCGCTGGGCTTAATAAAGCATATTAGGGCGCATAATGGGCGCCGGTGATGAATCGGGGCGCGGCGATGACATTTATTGTCTCTCGGGTGCTGCTCAAATGAGTCTTCCAGGCCGAGGCCATCCGAGGAGTCGAGGAGTCGGGCCGCTCGGCACTCAGCCAGACGTGATGGAGGTGCCGAGGAATGACTGACTGGCGCTTCCTCGGCGTGTCAACTGCATTTGGATTGATCATCGAGGGGATTTGCTGGGAGAATCGAACCAGGCTAAACTCATAGCTCGCCCGAAAGTGATGATCGATGTGAGTTACGGATGTGACCGGCGTTGAAGAATTGGCCTTTGTTTGCCTTTTATTTAAGCGTAAGGCTCACCGATGAAAGCAAAAGCTTTTAAAATTCAGAGCAGAGTCAATATTCACACTTGAGATTTCTCACTTGATTTGAGGCTGCCAATGACACAGAGTCAAGTGGAGCATTGCAGATTTAAAAAAAAAAAAAAGACAACTTTTGTGTGGCATCCTGAGTGTGTAATTTGTTTTCTCGACATCGCGTACACTCCTCTCTGCTCATATACAGACTTCGTCAAAGCTTTCTCGATGGCTTTTAAAATTCCGTACAAAGTCAATATTCACACCAAGGTTTTCGACTCGATCTGTGGCTGTCAGTAACATGGAGTCAAATTGAGCCTGACAGGGAAAAAAACACAAGACAAAAACGTGTCGGAGAGTGTTCTCACCGTAGACAAAGAGGATATACTCTGCGCTGCTGGTCCCCAGGTGGTTGCTGGCCTCGCAGCGGTACGTGCCGTTGTCAGTCTTGTTCAGCGTCGTGATGGTGAGCTCCCGACCCTCCACGATCATACGCTCCACATCGGGCAGCTCGCCGCCGTCTTTGGACCACAGGACCGGTTCTGGTCTGAATCAGAGGTTAAGGACAGAAGGTGGATGTTATGAAGTAGCATATTTTGCGGATTATCACTCACACTTTTTTCATAGTTTGGCGAGTGGTACGATGAATATTCAGGTGGGACAAAGATTTTAAAATGACAGCTCAGACTGGCACCCAAAATCCTGGAAATGTTTTACTTTTTAGTTTAAAACGGCTTCCCCTTTGTGGAATTCTTCATCGCGTTGTGGCCAAAGGTCGAATCCAGGTCAGTCATGACGCCTTTTGGTGCTGTAAATAGTAAATCCTCGTGGTGGCGGAAGCCACGTGCTAAACTAGCAATATGTCACACGTGAGTTGCCATGACTATCTCGTCCTTTTTAGCATGTAGCGTTTAGCATTAAGAACTGACTGTTTACAACACCAAATGGCAAAAGAACCGCTCAGGATTCTCTCTACTCAGCTCATGTATTCTGGTGCAAATCAGGGTCATTGCTTCCAAGGCGCTTAAAGTCAACTTTGCTGGCAGTCTTATCATCAAAATCAATCGGCTCTTGATGTCCCGTCAAGTCATTTGACTCACGTTGCCACCCGTCTGCTATTTGCACGGGAGCAATCCCCCCCCCCCCATTCAGAACTTACATGGGGTTTCCTCTGGAAACACACTCCAGTTTGAAGTACTGGCCCTCCTGCGGGATGATCATCGAATGTGTGATCTCTAGATGGGGAGCATCTGCAAGCGCGCGCACACACACACACAAAAACAAGAACAGTTAGCTCTCCAGGTATTGGGCAGCTCGTATCCCTCCGCCCGTCTTCTGCTACTAATCCCTTACCTGCATGCTAATCCTCACTAATCCCGGTTGAAATGCAAAACTAAACCGGCAGACGTACGTGTAATCTCAGTTCTAGTATTTCCGTCTCAATGCTAATCTTCATGCTAATCCGTGTGTGTGTGTGAGTGTGTGTGTGTGCGCACGTGTTCAGGACTCACAGTGGACCTCCAGGACTTCGGTGGTCATGTAAGGGTTGGACAGAGACAGGTGGTCCACCATGCAGGTGTAGGCCACGCCGTCGTCGCCTCGGCCCACCTGGAAGTGGAGGCTGCTCCTCACCGTGAACGACTTGCCCGAGGCGCTCACCTCCGTCGTGCCTGCGCGAACGCAAATGACAAGCAGCTCTCACGACACGTCAGTAGGTGACGGCATCCCCCCACCCCGCAAACGTCGTCCTTACTCCTTCACAGTTTTACTTTAGTTCCGTTTGATAGCAGTGCAGTCGAAACCTGGGTTTCAGTATGCCCTGTTGTTTTTGTTTTTGTTTTTGTTTTTGAATCTTTGGCCCTATTTTAGTACAACTGCCTGCCGGGCTACTATAAATATTTCCTCATGTCGCTTAAAGTCTTTTGTTCTTGTTTTAACCTTCACAGTTGTGATTCTTGTTGATTTCTCGCGCAAAAAGAGGCGAGACCGTACAGAGCAAATACCCACAGAGGCCACGTTGCTCGCAATATGAAGTCTCACATTTGTGGACTTCCGGTTCCGGGTCGCTGCGCTGTGGTCGACCGGTCTACGTCCGGAGCGGTTTTTCTTACTTTTCTTGCTTTTTTCCCACATTTCTCACCTACACTCCGTGCTTTTCCGAGCTCGGCAGGCCCGCGTTACTTTAGCGCGGCTGTTCGAGCTATAAATCCCGCACTTTTCCCCCTTCGATTATCTTTTTTCATTCATTCGTTAGCCCCGGTGCTAACAGCGAGCGAGTGCTACAGCTAGCACCTTCAGCTAGCCCGGTGCTCATGGCGAGTGCTCCTAGCCGGTGCTAACGACATCAACACTGCACCTCCACCATATTTTTGGCTCAACTCAACTTAAGACTTACACCAAATATGACCACCTACACGAGGGAACAGCTGCTGCTTCTCAGAGACGTCCCGCTGCCGGTCCCCCCTCTCATCGTCGGGCTCCCCGACGCGATGTGCGTCC